GAATTAGATTATCTAAGTCCGTGGCTCAAGTGACCTATAGCTATCCGTCTTCGTCCGTCGTCTGTCGTGCGTTGTCCGTTAACATTTTACATTTTCAACTTAAGCTGAAATACTGTCAAAGGAATTTCATTGATACTTTATGGAAATGTTACTGACATCTCCTTGACCAAGTGTTGTAATTTTTCGGGTCGATCATAAATCCAATATGGCCACCAAGGCCACCATTTTGAAAAACTATTTCAAACTTAAAGTCAAGTTCTACTGGGCCGATTTAACTGAAACTTGGTAGGAATGATCAACTCATTGTCCTGAAAAACTTAACTTAAATTTTGGTAGGGATGATTGACATCATTATCTCCACTTCATATTTCAACAACAAAAAATAATACTGTAGGACTCAGGTGACCGTTAGGGCCCATAGGCCTCTTGTTTAGAAGTGCAGGGACATGGCACACCATTTGTTGAGAGATGAAAAAAAAAAATTAATAGCAAAGTAACTGGTTGTATAATATGGAAACATGAAACTACTTGTCCCAAACACATTTGACAGAAGGCATGACCAGGGTGTCCACTTACTTTTAATGAAAAAAAGGATATGAATATGGAGGTTTTTATATAGGAAATTTATGGAAATTATGCAAAACATACAGGTAACTTATAGGTTTTTATCCATGTTTGATACTACTAATTGGGTTTAAAATGCTACATATATGCATTATTATCATAGAAAAAAATATCATGTAATGTATTTGTATCACAAATTAAAAATAATATGTATACGCATGTCCATTCTTGTTGCCATAGAACGTTAAGTGAACTGCATCTTTCACAACCCTTAAAGCATTTATAGTCTCTTCTCCAAGCTCCATTGATATTACCAGACAGATCTAGACTTCCTACAACATCTGCACTACAATGGGGTAAGAATATTGTAGTTTTGACAACGTTTTCTTAACATGAGTACTTTGATCCTCCAACTTCAGATTTCATTGAAAGGATTTCTCTCCAAATAGTGAACAATTCTTTGAGTATTCTTTACTACATAGTCCACTTCGAAACATTCCATTCATTTGTAACTACAGCTTTGAAATCCGTCTTAAGCTGCCTAGTAACCTTTTGGCTTTCACCGATTTAACAAGACTTCATTCTTGCTGGATTGCTTGGCGATGGATTCAAACACCATTGCCTAGAAAGGAGTTTATTTTGAAGAGGGAGACTTTCATTACGTCTTCTGTAGTTTTTTGAAGAATGCTACCATTGACAAGAGTTTCTTTGCTCTCAGGTCTGGCTTCAACCTGGAGAGTCGTTTATTTCCTGACCTTATAACTCATGACATGCCCATCATTTGAACGTTGGTTATTCACAGTACAGTCAATTAATGATATGTATTTTCTCTAGCCTTTCCTGAGACGCACGCTAGTTTAATAAACCTATTATGCATTTTGACCAACATTTTCCGATTTTGAAATGAGAGCATGGTCATGGGTACTTCTGCCTTGAACACTGACAAAACGTTTTTGAATAGGGGAAGCACGTTTTTAGGAAAATGCATCTGGTTTATTTTTCTCTTGATTGCCTACAGGAGTTTGATGGACCCTCTAGGAATTTGCACTCTTTAGTGCTGTCTTTTCGTTCCCCACCATCTGTTTAACAAATGCCAGGATTTCATTTCAATGTTCGAAAAGCCTTAACAGAGGTTCCAGTGATAGCCAATCTGACCTCTTTGTTTTATGAAAAAGTTACAATTCAACATCAAAATCATTGTTTGTCATCCTCAAAACTTCATGAGTTACACTGACTTTCGCTCTCTGCACCCTTGGCATACATGTATGTCATAGCAAAAATGAAGGATCGTGGCTACCTATTTGATTAGTCCCATATAAAAACAACTTACCAATCGCTAGGCTGATACCTGTCATTTGAAGATTACAGAGGAGCGATAACCGAATTCAAAGCTAGTGAATTTGACCGTTATGCGACCGTGAGATTCTTTTGATGTAAACCAAAGGATCAAACTAGTCTTCTTGTCTCACCCACAAGGTAATGCACACTGAGCCTTCAATTTTGCTATGACATGTGCCAGGAGTGCAGAGGGATTAATTGAGCGTAACCCATGGACTATTGAGGATGAATGTATTCAGGCACAATTGTTTTTTTCCACCACCGGCACCAATAATCTTTCATCCGAACTTTTAATAACATACAAATATACCTACCACAATCACACTCATATTTATATAACTGCCTTGATGAATGATATCAATTAGGTAATCGGCTGTTATTTCATACAGTTAAGTATGGTTAGTTTGGACCATACATATTGTCGTTTGTTGTCACTATATATATCAATTGGATATTGGCAACGTTTGCTGCATTTTTCAGATTGTTGACTGAGCAATAAAATGCCACAAGGAACGCCAAAATTTCCAAACAGTTGGCGTTCAGACATTGGTTGTCATAGTCAGAACTCTTCGAAAATTATGAAGAAGCTTAAGAAGGAAGGAGGGCTTCCATGCTTGCTGTCGCTTCTATGACTCTGATATCAGGTGTTCGCTTCCTCTGTGAAACTGTAGGTTTGTCAGGGGAAAGTTCACAGGAATCTTGATGATCCCGCATTAGACAACTCGGACCAAAACTAGTATTCAACAATGATCCTTATAACAGTGACAGTAATAATCCTTCTTCTTCTCCATCCCCTTCAGAATCCCTTCTTAAAATCAGCATCTGTGGATAATAGGTGATGGTATTTGGGGTGCAAAAGTAGCAACATCAACTTACAGATTCAGCTCATGTTATATGTTCTCCAGAGCTTTTTAGTCAATGTTTCCGGACTCCAGTGTAGCTAGAGATATAACATATATCTAAGATAAAAAGACGAAGAAATGCTTCGATACACCCAAAAGGCATTTAAGGCCTGAATCTTGCTTTGGTCGATTTCATTGGGTGATGAATTGAGTTTGTCTTGAAACAAATTTAATGAACTGTGAAGCAATTCATGTTGGAATTGAAATATTTATCGATGAATTGCACTGATTAAACATTAGATTGACTTAACATTCCGATGAAACGACGCAAGTTCATGTAACAAATAAAAAAAAACATGGATTTGATGGATTTGATGGTACCAGTTCTATCAATCCGTTTTCTTTGTGCATGCTGAAGGAACCCAAGAAGCTAAAAATACTGTCAAGAGATTCATGGCAGATGGCGTACCCTTTCAAAACACTTGACCTTTGAGAATTGATGGTCGGAATGTATATGTTACGATCACTGCTAGGTTGGGTTCTCTTGTCAATGAAAGCAGAAGTGCCACATCACAAAGTAATAGTTTAACATTTGATTCGCAATGTCTACATTGTTGACAACTTTCACCAGCCGACGTCTTTCAGTTCTCGCTATGCATACGAGACGTGATATAGATTTGTCCTAGACTTTAATGGCGGGTGTCGTCGATGGAGCAGCAACCGCTTACCCTAAAGGGTAGGGATTTGAGAAAAGAATATCCTGTTCATACCGACTACATGTTGTAAGAGACAACTGCATTATAATATGCACACCTAATGCATAATTTGGGATCCATTGCGACATCTTGGATCTTTGTTCCTAATACCTTCCTTGGCAAAACATCACTTTTGGCAATAGTTTTGAACGCTTTGGTTTGTTTGGACATAGTGTCCTATGAACATGTGAGACCCTTTAAGGAAGTGCCTCGATGTATGTAAGGTATGAGTGTATGTGGGCTGGAGGCGGGCTGGAGGCGGTATGGTGGTGTATATCCCTCCTTGGGAGAGCGCAAAATATTTTCCAGGCGGAATGTTTGAAAGTCATTTTTTTACTTAATAGCTATGTCCTTAAAGTAAGCGTTGTAGACTATGTTGAACTAGCACCTTTATCACTGTATGATGATATAAAACCTCTGTCCAAGACGTTTAGATTCCGAATATTGGATATTTGTGACAAATGTCATTTGGATTAGGGCACCAATTGAAAACGGCAAGGTTATGTGTTTGACCTTTTTTTGTTTTAGCTGCCTCTACATGGAACTCACTGTCAGAGCATGTCAAATTATCTACATCCTTTAATGACTTCAAGAAAAAAATAAAAAAAACTTGGCATGGTGGGAGTTGCCACTGAGCGATGTGCAGATGAGTTCCCTCCCTTTGCTGCCTCGGCTGCTTTATCCATTCTACTTCAATGCTTTTAGACAGTCGTTATGCTTGCAAGATTTGTATGTGTATATAATTTTATGTGCTATTTGTTTTGTTTTGCTTTTTATTGTGTTTAGATTGTATGTGCTGCTTATAATATCTTGTTTTATTTCCTGTAATTTCAATTTCAAATTCAAATTTGGTTTGTTTGTATTTTATGCAATCTGTGTGTTTTTTTATTTACGAAATGTATATATTTATGTGTGTTGTAATTATGTAATTTGTTGAAGGCATTGTGTGATAAGTGTGGTTTTCCAAAATGTTTTAATTTATCTAGGAATTCATGAATAACCATGGTCATCAAGGTTGGGGTACTGTAGCCACCTTGTTTTGACTATTTGCTAAGATAATTCTTATCCAAAAGTATGTGCCAAAATTCTCCTGCATTTTTTCATTCAGGAATCACACCCCCTATCTTTTTTACGTTTAACAAGGATTCTGTTTTAACAATGTCATATATTTGCATGCTTTTTATGTTTAATTTAATGCTACCTCCGTTTTTATTTGTTATATAGTCGGTTGTAAAAGCCTTCCATAGGCTTGTGTTGCCTTGTTTTACCATGTACTGACTCTTAAATAAAATGTACTTGACTTGACTTGATTATGTACCTTGGGGTTCTGTAAGTATATTCATAGAAATTCACACATTCATGTAACATTCACCGCAGCCTTGCTGTCATCCGCAAACAAGGGTTTCATTTCGTGTTTAGATATGTTCACATTAGTATACACGGTATACCCGCGTCCTTTTCCGCCACCTGTGCTCGTTGACCTGTCCAGGCGGCACTCTGGCGCTATCTGCACAGGTGAACGGACAATCACTACTCGTTCCTGCCCGACTCACTGGTAAGTTCCATCATGATCTTTCTATATACCGTCATTCTCATATACATATTCCTCGATTATATATTGAGGCGAGAATCTACATCGGGTGTGAGTAATTGTTGAATGTTTAATTATAAATTTGTGTGCATTGGTAGGTCTTTGGACCGGATACATATAACATTCATCGTTCTGGCCGTGTCTTTATTTCCTGACACCCGGTTTATCGGACATGCGTGTCATATGTTATCTGAAGATTCTCGCCTTTATCAAACTTAAGAATTATGTGTACCGATGTGACATGTCGACCCAAGTGGTGAAGAGCTAGATAAAATATGTCTATACAGGTATTCCACACAGGCACTTGGCACTTTTCATGACGGATATAATTATGGATAAAAGCAAATCTCAAAATCATCCCAACATTACACGTAATGCTCTAAAGGCCGACATATTATAATGAGAATCATAACGCTAAAGATATCTATTTTTTTATTTTCTAAAATGAATAGACTTCATTATTTTTTTTATTGTTACTGGTCCCTGTTGCCCACAAACCCGAAGTACTAATCCACAGTGTTACGCGTCGGCCTTTTTTTCCGTTAAGAATGGCCGCTAAAGGTTTGTATGGGTGCAGATTGTGAGTTTTTAAACAGCAACAGCGTTTTGGTTCCGGCACCATTTCATTACGCATAAACAACGTATGTATATAAGTTACTTACATTGTGTACGGTATTATTGCTTACATTTCGTGTACTCCTAAGTTGATGATCTCCGTACGTGTTTGCAAGGGCATTTGCTCAACTTTCACTCAACATGTGTACATTATATCTTACGTCATGTATGACTGAATACACAATAAGTAAATATCAGATGACACATGTTTTACCCTCAATCCTCACTGGTGGCTTCATTAGCACATGTAGGTCGGGCATTTTTATATTAACTCTGAGTAACTTTTTTTTGATAAACAACAGCTTAATGACGTCACTTTAATCGTAACGTCAGGACGCTGTCTGCAAAATACTACACTTTTCACTGATTGTATAACATTTTATCTTCTTAGATTACATCAAAATTACCGTTTTTTATCTAATATAACAATTGAGGTCTTTTAACTACCGATTTAAGGACTTTTGTGTGTCCCAGACTTGGCAAACATTCAACACTTAGACCAAACGTGAGGTGGGAATTTAAGACGCTAGGAAACGAAGTGTTGATATGAAGCTGAGAGAAATTCCAATGATCCCAACTATTGCAATGAGTGCAACGTATTTATCATTATATTTTGACCCAAGGTAGACAGCACCGCGATATTATGTGTCTCCTTCCTGTTAGGACGTACGGTTTTTGCGGGACAAATACTGGCAATGTAAAGGAGCTTGAGTTTATATATAAATCTAGCATTCATTTACTTTATTATAGTGTCTAAACTATGCTGTAGATCTACATGTATAGGGTTTAACGTCCATCAACAGCTAAACATTTGGTTTTGTTTGGTTTTATTTTGTTTAACGGGCATGGCACACACTACCGATGCACCTCGCCGGGACTAAACTGGAGCAAAAAAAGCAATTGGAAAACTGACCGTATAGCAATGCCGATGTAGTACCGACAATCCCGTTATGATACCATTTTTCTTCTGTTGTCCTACCGATGTACTTTTCTGTTACCTTAGTGTTACCAATGCGCGGCCGGTGTTATCCCGAGACATCAGTACTACTTCGGTGGTATTCGGTAGTACTACGATATCACATCTGTACACGTACAGTACACATTAAGGCCACCGGAGAGCCGCCGATTCATTACGGGGCGCAGCCTATGCGCTACCGACATTAACGAAGCTCGCTCCGGCAGCGCAACGGCGAAAATGTCAAGGGTCTGTTACACACTATCGATGTACCTCGCCGGGACTAAACCGGAGCAAACAATTAACAACGGCAGAGTTGCGGCGAGAAAACACTTAAAAATTGACCGTATCAATACCAATGTCCTACCGGCGTTCCCATTCTTTTACTGTTGTCCTACCGATGTAAGAACCAATGTGCTACCGAATACCACTTTTCTGTTATTTTAGTGTTACCGATGTTATACCGAGGCATCATTACTACTTCAGTGGTATTCGGTAGTATTACGGTAACACATCTGTACCAGTACGATACACATTGAGGCCACTGGGTGCCGCCGATTCATTACGGGGCGCTTCCGGTGCTCTACCGGGGGGGGGGGGGGGGGGGGGGNAAACAAAAATCTACCGCCGACTGCCGTTGCTTAATTTTCTTTTCCTGACGATATACCATCGTTCCCTGAAAATCGCAAAATGTTTGCTCCGGAATAGCTCCGGCGACCCAAATCGGCTAGATGTGACAGACCCTTAATGACGTGCTTCAATGTGTGTTATGTATGCGTGCATGTGTGTATGTGTGTTGGTGTGATGCCTCCTGGTGGTAGCGCGGATCTGATGCCGACTTTATTGTGCTATCACACTGAATAACATGCCGAAGCCACTCAGCACAGATCTCTGCCCGTTCACATTATACTGACAACAGGTGAACCAGTTGCTGCACTTACCATTAATGTTGAACCCTAAGCAGGGAATAACAACTACCATTTTCGAGGACTTTGGTATGTCCGTGTCTTAACGATGCCTTGATCAATATAATGATAAATGATAATATACAGCGACTTGACAACACCGACACATTTGTTTTATTTGTTTATTTATTTTGTCCCTATTCAGTGTTGTGTACACCAAACAGTGACGTGATAAACCAATCGATAACGTAATACACCAATTACTGACGAAATACACCAATCAAAGACGAGACACAACAAGTACTGACGTGGTAACCAATCAGTAATACTACTAGTGTCGTGATACGCAAACAACAATGGCATCAGGGAAAGTCGGGCTGGCGTTATTAGGACTTGGTCGGATTGGACAGGTACATCTGAAGATTATTCTTTCAAGTCAACGCACTGATTTGTTGTGGGTGGTGGAAGAAAATATGGAACTGGCCGAAAAGGTATTGAAAGAGAATGGACTATTGGGAAAACTCAGAATAGTTCCGAACAACAAGTTTGATGACATCTTACTGGACCCCTTGTGAGTATATGTACAAGTATATGTTTACATTTCTGTTTAAAACTTTCTGCTATGCAGGCGCATCAATTCATAACTAGTATGATGGGTGTTACTGGATTTGTAGAAATTGTTTTCTTATTCAAATGTGTTATTTTTGCTTTTATCTGATATTTAAAATTTCATATTTTAACGTAATATTACCTTAAATTGTTCACAGACCTGTTGGAATACCAGGTAACGAAAAGGCAGATCGCGCCGCCGAAGCGGATATAATAACGATATAATCGGTGACATGTGTCCTAGCTACAATGAAAAGCACCGGAAAAGGTTTCCCTTGCCCGTTTTCGGATGGGATATTCATACATTACGCATTAATATTTATAGAAATGCGATGTCCCACCTCAATGCTAAGCATACCACATAAACATTTACAGTAAAACAATTGCTTTTAGTTTGCATTGACCCCAAACCAACAGGAGACAAATTTTCTAAAACAAGTGTTAAATGTTTCAAAAGATATAAGTAACCATAATCATTTTTTATATTTAAAATGGCGTTTGTCTTCTTCGTTTGACCTTTATTTTATGGCTACAGAGATCGAACGGTTTTCTCAATCTCTACAAGGTCTGGAATCTTGCTTTTTAATCTGATAAATGCTGGTTAGAGTGGCTACCAATTTTGTTAAAATGAATGACCTTGTCCCACTTTGAATGTCACAAGAGTCAGATGTGCTAATTTTTCAAGCTACTTTTTCTAAACAATTAAGAGGCATATAGGATGATGACAATTGGCCAGTAACATGCTGGGATGAAAGGCAACCAAGTGTGTTCCAATGAATGGCCTTTACTACGTATACCTTCGGTGGTTCCAGCTGTCAAATGTGTTAAAGTTTTAAACAACCTTTTCTGAATAACCAACGGGCCTAGATTAGTGATAATTGGCATGCTTGAATGAATGGATCCGAGTCATTTACAATACAATAGTTAAAGAACTTAAGATTTTAAGTTAAAGAGGTTTGGCATGCGGTATGTTGAATGAATGATATTAGGTTTGTTAAAGCAATTGATCCTGACAGTCATAGGAACACGATACACAATTAATAAAGAATCCAAATATGATTCAATCATGTAATATTCTTTAAGCAAATACTTTAAATTTCACGAAACCCTAAGGTCAAAGGTCAAATGTTTTCGTTCTTTTATCTTTTAATTTTTTAATTTATGGGGGGGGGGCATTATGACCGTACCTCTTGCGAGGATATTAAGTCAGGAAAAAGTACTTCACAATTGTTATAAATGATTATAATTATGTGATAATTATTTTGATAGAGTACAAGGAGTGTATGTGTGTTCCCCGACAGACACACATACAGCTCTCGTCAGGAAGGCACTGGCCGCACGTGAGTACAAATACCTATATATAACCTCCAGATTATGATATGCCATGTACATCAACCATCTCAACAAAATTTAAAGCAACTGCTTTTTTTTAGTTCTCACAGATGATCTATGTATATATATATCTAGATTAATGTTTTGTTAATTTGTTAGTTTAATTCAAATTTGTATAGTGTAGACAGACATAGCGTTATGTGTGTTGTGTTTCCTACGAAGAGTTCAAATGTTTGGCATTTTCTGATTTGGAATTGTTTTCCTATTAACATAACACACAGTTGTGTGCGAGATAAATATACTATCAATAACAATTTCATTTACAAAAGTATCTCATTAATGGAGGTTTAATCTCCAAACGCCTTGATATAAAACTTAAACCTTATCAACTGAATACATTTTAGCAATATAGCCTCGGAAAAAAAGTTTAAACTTAACTACATCAAAATGCCTTCAACATATGGATATAAAAGAAACATAAATTTAACAGGAATATGACTGTTAAAGGCCTGCAAAAAGTAGAAACAAAAGATGTGAAGTTTATATGGACTTGATAGCGGGTTGCCAAAGTGGGTCTTCACACAAAATAAATTATTTATTAACTGTACTACGAAGCCACGTATTACAAATACATATTATCAGATTAAGTGAAAATATAACATTATCATTGTGGTTAATATTTTTCGGTAACTAGTAGTTGTGAAAAACAAAATGTTAAACACGGGGTGCTGGGTTATTTGTAATCTGTCTTGTCTGTAATGCCATATAATACTTTCAAAATTTTAAGATAGGTGCCAGCGACTGGATGTGTCGCAGATCCATATTTATGCATGCTTGTGCAATCAGATAAGCATTTAGTAAGGCACAGATTTGCTTGTGTCAGCATAAACATATCCTTCATAGAGGATATTGAAGAGAGCAGAATTGATCTGCTGCCTCAATTGCAACACTTCATATCTGTGTTTTCATGTCCCTTCCTGTCGGTTTTGTCTCCATAAGTACCCCTCTTCATGTGACCTTCATGTGACCTCACAAACAGCTGACACACACGGGTTAACATTGAAATGATTGAAATTAGGAAATCTACCTGTTGTAAGCCAAATCACTTTCTTTCGCTTTGTACGATGCAAACTAGAAACTAACTACTATGAATATGCAGGTAGTGGAAATAATGAGAAAGTTCTAAACAAAGGTTTCATTTTCAAGGGATATAATTACAATATATATATACACGTTTCATTTTATATCTTGATCTGTCAAAGAATAAGTTATTCATTTTAAAGGGAAAGCCGTTTTCTGCGAAAAGCCGCTCTCAGAAAAATTGGCGGATATTGAAGCTTGCTACGATGACGCCGAAAAATTCGGAGCTACATTGTTCTGTGCATTTAACAGGTAAAACTTTTGACGCTTGTTTGGAAGTTTGGAAGTTAGTTAGTGTTTTTCTGACATATGGACTGGTATAGTTGTTTAGGTGTGTCCAACCGACCAGATGGGCGCAAGACAATTTTGTTTTTAATTTTTGTTGAATTTCGTTTTGATACATAATTTGTCGAATTACCAAAATATTGAAAAAAATGAAGATTTTAACTGATATGCAATAATAGCCTTATGAAGGCATCCCTATCGGTTATAAACATTTTTTTTAGAAAATGATGTCATAGAAAAGTTTGTTACAGAACATATATCGCTCCATATACAATTACATAACTCGAAGACGCACTTTTATTGACCTACTAGTGGTAATATTTCATTCCTTTTTTAAAATTTATTACTAGTTTCTTTTTGGTCGAAATATTTTTGTCGTGTATAAATCTGGTTGATGGTATTGTTTTCCGTCACTTTGCTTTACTGTGACATCAGTCTGGTACTATATCTACTTACTACAGACATTTTGACTTCGGTATCCGGAGTATGTATGAGAAGGCTCGGTCGGGGGGTTTAGGTAAGATATACATGGTGAAAACGACGTTCCACGACACTCCACTGTGGATGGGGGCACCTACTTTTACCCAGACGTTTCTCATCCACGACGTCGACCTGTTGTGCTGGTTTGCAGATTCTCTTCCCGACACGGTCGTAGTTCAAGCTACTGCTAACATTAAGGTGATTTATTTCTTTTTACAGCCCAATAACCATATACAGCATCATTAAGTAAATTGTACGTTCAGTTTTGAATTGTTACAATCTATAAGGTGTGGATGATAAACCTTATTTCTCCAACAACCACTATATATTTCCCCGACTCATTTGATAAACCTGCTAGGAGTTGGTAAATTTATTTGGTTAACCACTAGTTAGCGGGTAACACTATGGACGTAATTTCGTTGGTTCATTATGACGTCAAGTATCAATGCATTATGACGTCATCATCCATAGTGACATCATAGTTCATGGTAATTGTTTCCTAGATAGCAAACAGGAATAATGTATTCCTATAGGAAACATGGTTCTCTAGATATAATATCTGAACGTTGTAGGATAACAAGCTTCCAAAACTCGTGATGGTTGATTATCATTTTTATCAAACTGTTGTTGAAGGATATAACATAGCATTATAACTCAAAGCACATAAATGAAATAAATTTAGGTATCCAGGATATGATATTAATAAGACAATGCAAATATATTTAGCAATTGTTTTTACGGCATCAGATTTTTTAAATATATTCCAAAATATCTCATTTTACGTAATATTTTTCTGCAATATTTTTGTAATTAAATTTTATAATCCGGCATTCAGCTTGAAATTCCCATCTTTATCTTTTCCGTTTTATGATAACTTATTAAAAATTGAACACTATATAGCGTTACCTGACCGTATTTTTGTTATCGTATTTGTTTGGAGGATTTTGCAAAAATAGCACTGCCCCGATAATAACTCTGCTCATTTTTATTACTCTATTACATGTAATAACCCTGTTAATTTTTTAACTTTATTCTATTATTTCATTAATAACCCTGTTAGGATAATTCCATAACATAATTAACAACCCTGTTAATTTTATTATCTATCATATTACTAATAACTATAAATGTTTTTCAATTATCTTATTAATAACCCTGTTAATTTTATTACTCAGTTATTTTATCGATAACCCTAAGAATTTTATTCTATATTTTTTTAACAGCCCTGTAAATTTTAAAACCATATTGATTTATTGTATTATTTCATTAATAACCCATTACAATCAGGAAGTGGCGGATCAATCTGATGTTGACACCGTTGGTGTTTTGATGAGGTTCCCTTGCGGTATGCTTGGTATCCTGGACTTCTGTAAATATTCCCCCTACGGCTACGACGTCAGACTAGAGGTAAAATCTATTGCAACAAATAATTTTATTTCTACTGCATATTAGTATCCAAACCAGGTAATCTGGAATCGTTAAATTATATATTTTTTTTTAAATTTTTGTATATAATTATAAAATCCATGTCCAGAGGCCATTTTGCAACTACTCTTTCATTCTACTCGAAGTATGCATATGTGTTGTAAGTTCATTTTGTATGAGATTTGTTATACAGCGTAATCAAATTGGTTTATTTTTGTTTTACTACATGACTCGCGGCAAAAAAGGTCGAACGTAATAGGAACAAGTTGGATATTTCGATATCCACCACGAAGATCCATAAGTGGTGACACATGGTTAATGATTAATCAATGTCTTCTTTCAAAGCAATACCAACACTTTTATTTTTGTGTAATGCTTGGCTTAAATCAGAAAACACTTTTATCAGAATACTTTTGGAATTGGAACAACGTTGAAGAGTATTTTCTTATGAAATTTGACAGGTTTATGTTCATGTGTTCTGTTCATGTGATGGGCAGATGCATACTGTACTATTTCGTTCAATTACTTTCCGTTATTTCAGTTATTGGTGTGCACTGAAAAGATATTGATTTTAATCCAGAACTTCAGAAGGACAGAATTAAAAACATATCATGCGTCACGAATTTTTGTGTTTTATGAAAAATAGTGGGTTCGTTTCTACGGTCAAAATCATGTCAAAGGTAATATTCAGTAGGTTTAATATCAATTACAACATTAAAATAACTATGTCGTTTATTTCGGTTTTGTCAACATATTATGTATAAAATTAAACAAAGTAGCATGTATTTTTATAGTATACACATTCATTAGGTCTCCGGGTCGAAAGGAATGGAGGTAACTGATGCCAAACCCATTTCGTTTGTGAAGACCTTGATACCAGGTGTTCAATGTCAGGAGCAGATACATTCGTCATTTCCAGATAGGTTTCATCAGGCTTACGCATCCGAACAGGAACATTTCCTGGACGTTATCGAAGGTTTGTAAAACACGACGATATCTGACAATTTTCTTTTCTTTTTTTGCTTTGCTTGTTTGCTTGCTTTTCCCCCCGTGTTTTGCATTATTTTGTTGTAATTCTTTCTTTTCGTTGTTCCGGTTACTAATTTTGTTTTCGATAATAAATTCCGAATTCATGAAAGCATGGTAGATGTCAAATAACATTTCGGATGACTCAGTGTTATCGGTTCATGGAAAATAATGAAGGCAACTGCATGTGAATCTTAAATTCAACCCAATTATCTTATTATCGTAATAGCAACGTTATATTTTTTCGCGTCTGCAACAAACGTCCTATTTAACGCTTAGGTCATCTAAGGACGTGCCTCAGTGTGTGTTGTGTATGCGTGCTGTCGAGAAACTATTAAGATCTAACAAACAATTAAACAAACAATCCCTCTGTTAATTCTATCAAAACACGTTAGAACTACGCTTTTTTCGGTCTGGTTTTCTGACAAGTTCGATTCGATGTCATCATTCAAGCTTCATGAAAACATCATGTTGATTCTTTATTTGATTAAAATCTTGAGTACATTTAAGGCATAAATTGTATTTAACGTTTTGATTATCGGGTTTTGAAAAAAAAAAAAACCACAACATTAAGCATGCCTCTTGTTAGCCAATGTACTTTTCCCCGTGACATGTTCGAATCGATGTCATCATTCACTCTAAAACTATATCTCTGGATACAAAACTATCCAGTAATAATATTGACAAAGATCGGTATTGGTATACCCTTATTTTTTTGATTAAAAAAAACAACGTTGATCTTTTATTTGATAAAAGTCTGGAGTATATTTTTAGCATAAATCGACGTTGTGCGTGAATCATTTTCATTTTATCGATCTGTGGGATTTGTCTATATCCGATTTCAAATATAAATTAAGCTAAATGTTGGTAATTCTATAGCAGAACCTACATTCGATGACGTTCCATTTATAATTACTTTCTGGAATTCAGTTTCAGACTAATAACATTATAGGTTTTTAATTATTTGCGGTGGCCAGGCTGCCTCAAAGAAATATCTCACAAATTACTTCTCGACTGAAAGTCATTTTCAAAAAATGGCTGCATGAAGTGCAGCTTCACGTCCAATGTTAGGATATGGAATATTATAGAAACAAAGATGAATGATTGTGGAACATTTCGGTTATTAACATTTGCATATTATTGATAAATTTAGATTTTTTTGATAAAAATACCAATAACTAACTTTGAAACATGTTTCTTTATTCAGGGAAGGCGGAGTTAGAGGTGAAGCGAGTCTTTTCCGAGAGGGCAGCCAAAGTAATAGACGCTTTGAAGGAGTCGTACAGAACTGGACAAGTAGTTTCCCTCAAGAAATAAACAATAAATATATTACAGTCACCAAAACAAGTTTCAGTTACATTCTCACGACTCTTTGTAGTCACAATGTCATAAAATATTATTACCAAGATTTTGTTATTTCAAAAAGAGATAAATATATACCATTTTTTTAAATAAACAATTCTAAAGAACGTATGTACCATTGACTATCAAACTTCTTTTATACATTTTGTAGCTCTCGTGTAATATATATATGTGCCGTTTGTCTTAGATGAAGCAGAAAACCGATATAAGCGAAACACATGACCCTTATTCTCCCTGTAAAAATGATACTCATGTAAAAAAGAATGTAAAAAATATACGTGTCTCAACGGAATTATGATGTTTGTCCGTCTGTCCTTTAACTTGTCCGAACAGTTAAAGTTCTTCCTCAGGTTTCGCCTAATTTCCTTGAAAGAACCAACATAGAATACAACCATCTTCTTTCGGAAACATGTTGATCTTATATTCATAAACAGAGCTTTCATCATTTATAATCTTAAACAAGAGCTAGAACCATGATTAATAGCAATATATTATAATAAAAGACAACGCTCTAAATTTTGTGTAACTGCTGAAGCATAATACCTCAAATGATATATAAACCTGGTCAAGTTGTATTCTACACTGATGATTTTGCATGAATGTAGCTTTTGTTTGAATTGTTTTACGGACACATTTCAATTTAAGCAATTTAGGGACATTTAAAAAAATTCAATCCGTTACCATGGTGATTATAAAAAAGTCGTTACCACGGCAATTTCATGCAAATCTTTACCCCGACATTATATGCCTATCGTGACCGCATTTATACGCAAATTTTTGCTAAAACAATTATATTCAAAACGTCACAACAATTATGTGCAAATCTTTACCACAGCACTATATGTAAATCGTTACTTAGACATTTACTTGCAAAACATTACCATGACGATTATATGCAAATCTTTATACCTGGATAAAAATAATTAAGCAACTTGTTTTAATGATTTTTTTAACTAAATATAGTTTGGAATAAAATACTTGGTGATGAATATGAGAAGATGTGCATTTGTTTAAATTTGCATGATCTACATATAGTGATATGATGCTAAATTCCAGCCTGTCATGCATTTGTAGACACACCGCTATCGCAAATATTATATTCTCGAAATTCCAGGGGTTGTCTGCTCCTCAAGAATATGTCATGACAACATTATTTTGATGTCTTTCAAAAGATCGATCTAGTTTTCTTGCATCATTCACGAGCTGATGCACATTTGAGTCTTCGATTTTGTCATATGACATATTAAAGGGATACAAAAATATACAATCTGTATGCGTGCACCCCCTAACATTTTTCAATCGGCAAACCTCTGGTGACTTCGCTACGATCCACCATAAGTGCCATTAGGTGCCTTTAGGAACAACTCGGCTGATTCTGTTATTTTACTTTGATGAAACGATCTGTAATCGGGGCAAGGTGTTCCGAATGCACAGGTGTGCGAGAAACCAGCCACCGAGGTGTTCCGAGGATGCAAATCTCCTGGTGGCGACATTTCGGGACCTATGGAGGACTTGTACGAAGGGGGAAAACAGACATACAAAGACAATTATCCAGAGCGATATCCAGATTAGCATAAACACACATATATACATATACATATCTTAGGTAGGCCAGTAAAAGGAAAGTCCTGTTGGGGTCTCATGGGTTTATTCTAATAATAAAATTTCGCCATTTTGTCCTGAATATTGGTTTGATCGCAAATTATTTGACCAATCAGGCAAGGGTTGAATGGATTTCTGTAGTCTCTGTAACAATAAAGAATTAGATGCTTCAGCATAAGCGGTACACATATAACAATAGCAGATATAAAATAAATAAAGAACAATCAAGAATATCTTTTAGGTATCTTTAAAGAAGCGTTCAGTAAGAGTTAATAATAGATGTAAAACAAGTGTTTAACAATAAATACGTACAGCTTTCATTTCACATTCCGGAACCATTCGAGTAAGATGTGTACTTTTTAAGTGTGCCGATTATGAAATGTTACATTGAAACCATGCTATATCCTAAACAAGGGGACAGTTTTCATAAGGTACTAGCTAATTATAATAAAATCATTTTCCTACTTTAAAGGTATTTTGAAATCGAAATGTACAGTGGATACATCCAAAGTTAATCATTAGTGTGTTAAGAACAGGTTAGTTCTATTGTCTTTCTTTATTAGTCAATGCATCTGTTTTTCCTTAGAAATGCAGATGAAAAGAAAATTTTCACATTTGACAATGTGAACAAATACAATTGTAACCTGTATGTACTTCGTTAGTAGATGCATTAATGATGTAGTAGATTGCTGGAAATTATGTGCATTTCAGATTGGTTTGTTTTATTGAGTTGAGAGTCTTGTTAGCAGTTTTGATCATTTAAGGACGTGTCTCCCTGTGCATTATGTGCCTGTGTGTTTGCTGTAGTCGGTATCTTGGAATTTGATCATAAAACCAGTTAGAAGTTCTGTTAACCGATTGTTGAAGTCTAAACGTAAATTGCCTACAATGAAAATATTCGGTTAATCAAATTAATATGTGTTCTAAGAAAATCTGAGTTGACTTACCAAAACCAATCGTTTCAACAAGTGAAATTGTTATATACAAAATTAAATAAATGAATATGATTCCATGTAAAACAATTGAGTTACCTGTTTTATGTTGCCGTCGTGTTTAAGAAGAGTCAATATGATGTTTCCAACCAAAGGGAGCAATGGCACAAGGGCGATAATCCATCCTACACCAACGGACCAGGCGGGATAGGACTTGCCTCCATAAGTTACGGGACGATGATTGACTAGGCTCATTATCCACATAACCTTAACAAACATACAATGCAACTGTTATGGACATGTCATCTGAGTATTCCTCTCGAGGAATGTTTTAGAATGTCATACATAGTAATGAGCTTCAGTTTATGCAATGCATTATGGGGTTCCATATCGCACTGCTGGATGTGTATTAAGAAATCCTTCATAAGCGTTTTTGAATAACGTACTTTACTTTAATTTTGTTTTTGATAGTTGGGCTAGGACACTTCCGTTTACCGGCAAGGTATATCGGTTAGAGCGATATTTTAACGGCCTTAAGGTCAGAGTTCGAATCCCGGTCTAGCAAGGCTTATTTTACCCACTCTGAACAATATTGTTCATTATATTTTGTTGATAACATCTTTTTATTTTTTAATAAATTTCTGCAAGTGATATTTTTTAAGTTACAGTTTTTAGATTTGGTACAGGGATCCTTAAAATGATTCCTACTACAAATCAGATTTACAAATATTTATATATATTCCATTTCAATTCAATTTAAATCAAAACTACCATGCATTAGGCACATATATCGCCTTTTACATAATCCAGATAAATGTGTATTATCGTAATTTTCTTTTCTTTTTAATTTACATGCACTTACCATTGATGCAGTATAGCGAGAAAAATATTCATTATGACTATGAAATGTTTCAACGTTGCAATAAATATTTACAATTTCTTCAGGCGGATGCTTTCTAGACATCTTATCCAAGAAGTGTTATGAAGTATTTGATTTGAATTATATTCCATTAGGTTTCAACCGTTCCAGATGCTGCAAAACTTCAAGGAAACAGACATTGGTTTAATATTTAATACTTACTAGTATACAGCTTGGTGTCACAAATCTCCAGAACACCTGCCACAACTTTGGTATACGATATCCAATCATCACAGCTATATCGTCACTTAGCCTCTGGGACCCTAAACGTTAAAATATTAAGTTATTCGTGAAACTATGACCTTGTTCACAACATTTATACTTCAGTTATATATTGTATGGGAGCACCTTAATGCGGTCTGTGTAATTATATTAATATATGATACATTTAGGCAAAACCAACATCATCGTGTCGTTCTCGCAACTTGCAAACCGAACATAAAATTGAGCTGAAAGGTTTGTAAGATGTATAAGAGAGAAACAATAGCTAATTAATCATACTATGAATGTGAGAGTCCTTATCATTCACACATGGGAGGCCGTCCTTAAATGACCATAGCTGTTGATAGGACGCTAAGCAATGCTAAACCAAACCAAACCAAACCTTCTAATTTTCTTCCTCTATCATTGCTCTAAGGCACACCAACCTCTTTTGGGATCCATATTTAGTACTATGACAGTAGGAATATTCGTGGCAATAAAATGAAGACTTCATATAGTTCTACTTTATTTGTTAAATATCGTCATTTCGGGGTTTTTAATCCAAATACTGTATACCGAATTTTGTTTTGCTGCAGGTTAACTATCACCTGTTTTGATCTACGTAATAAGGGCTTAAAGCATTACAGCGAACATTAGTTAATACTGTTACATATATATATTTGTTACACCTCACGTGAATTTCAAGCTATTTGATTGGTTGGGAGAAAATTAAACAAAAATCTCACCCTCCGAAAATACATTGGTTTTAAGGGGCGCGGGTGATATTGCCATGAGACAGTGAAAAATATCGCATGCGCGAAAAATATGCGTTCAACGCTTCGTTTCCCAACCGTGATGGTCACAAGAACGTTTGACGTCAACAGCCAATTTTATATAGCGCCAGTGCGATAGCGATTGTAAACAGCAGACTATCAACAAACAAGATGTCATTATCGAGGATTGCTGCCGTTTTTGAGCTACAAAGACTTTTGGTGCAACAAAATAGATATGACATTCATTAGCAGGGGACAAAGAATTTTGTCAAACCTCAAAAACCCATTGTCACCCTCGGATTCGCCTCGGGGGACAATGGTTTTCTCGGGTTGACAATATTCACTGTCACCTGCTAATGAATGTCATATTTATATAATATCACATAATGTATTGTCTTATCCAGTGAATATACCCAGGTCATATTTATTTTTGCGTATTAACCCGTGTGATATGACCTATCAGGTCTGCGATTGGTTGTAAGTTTCAATTGTTTCAATTGTGATGTCACGCCTAGGTCAAGTACATGACGTCACAGACTTGAGCACTGGAGTCAAAATGGCCGCTATTTACGTTTCAAGGTTGCATGAAAATTGTGGTTTTACACGAATAAATGCCTCAAATCTTGCTTATGTGTTAAATGAATCTTGCACTCGTTTTCATTTCATATGAAATTAATTAAACGCGTCACGAATTTTTCATTTTATCTCGCCAGAGGCTCGCTAATTTGAAAACTTCTTAAGACTCGATTCATAAATCTCATAAGAAATGGAAACTCAAGTAAGATCCTTTATATCGATAGTTTGTTAAAGTTATAGGAAATAATGAGCATTGGCATAATATGGATTTCAACGGTTAAGGGCTACAATTTGACTGGGCGAAACTTTCTTGATATACCATATTAAAATTAAAGCCACAAGTTGCAAAACAAATACTGACTAATCCATTAAGACTAATCTTCGTTTTGGCAATGAAATGTGTGTAAACAAATACTTAATTATGCGGCTAACAAAATGCACGTACACAAAGGTAGGTTGGGCTAATAAAAAAGAAAGATGTTGAGCTATAAGTTCAACAGCGGAAAGGTGACACCGGGAAATTGATAAAGCTCAGAAAGCGACGCATAAACTACTGCAATTTAAATAATACAAGGATATAAGAGTATGTTAACAGATTATAACACATTTCAATCTAGTTACATGCATTACCATATATCCATGCCAGGACAGATGATTCAAGGAAAACTATCAGTAGCAAAGCAACACTGGCAATGTACCAATCCACCAACTGTAGCACGTACATCCCGCCCTAAAAATAAGTAGATAGCACAAATATCACCTTTTTACAACAGTTTGATAGTGTTTCCTTATATTTCATGTTGTTGAAAGTTTTATTTATACATTTATTTATTGTTAAATTCTTAACGTTTTAACAAGTTTTCAAGTTAAATTATCTGACAAGACGTAATTGAAAAACAACATACACCACTGGTTTTGAACACGTTGAAGAGAACATTTTAGCTAACAAATAAGCAAGGGTAATTTCATGGAGACGTGTGAGAAAATTGTGGGTATACACTGTTTCCGAGCGTCGTCATGCACCACTGACTTTACTTTAAAAAAAATCACTGTTGTGGAACTGATACGTTTTTGTAGGCAAATAGGTTTTGGGCATAAATCGTTCACAGGTAAGTACTGGTATTGTGTTTGTTAAGTGCCCACAACACATTTTTCTACACTTAAGTATCAGTTCCACAACAGTGGGTTTGTCGAGTGAAATCACTGGTTCGTGAGAACACTCGGAAACAGTGTAAAAGTACACAACCCACCGGGGGGTTCTATCCTTTGTATTTAAATGTTGAGCGTTCGTCCAGATAAGGAAGGCAATGTCCAGGCCGGAACATACCATAGTCCTTAATAAATGATAGTTGTTATTCCCTGCTTAACGTTCTGTATTTAGGGGAATGGCAACAATTGGTTCACCCGATGTCAGTAAAATGTGACTGGGCGGAATGCTGTGCTGGGTGCCTTCGACATGGTATTTCAGTGAGATAGCACTATAAAGTCGGCATCAGATCAGCGCTATCACAAGGAGGCAAGCACACCAACATAAACGGTTTCCGGCATACACACATATACTACACACATAGAGGCATGTCCTTAAATGATATTAGCTGTTTATAGGACGTTGAACAAAATTAAACCAATCCAAACCAAACCTTCGTATTTTCTAATGACAAAAAAGGCAAATTTAAAGGCAGGTGGAATGATCTAAACGCAATATCTAAAACATGTAAAGTTTAGTGCAGCTACCCCGATCTCTCTAATTTACCATATCTCTATATCATCTGCAAAATAATTGCTATATCGTAATGTCTAAACATCGAAGAATCTACAGCAGAAAAGTTGTGAGATATTATCGCATTTAAACGAAAACACAGATTAACATTGGCTTTGTACATATTTCAAAATTCACCTGACAACAAAATGGTATTCCAAGCACAAACGTCACCAGACAAATAGCGGCAGACGTCCATGCAACTTTCGACCGAAAAAGGTGCGGATTAATGTCACCCAGTGACCCCGTCAATACTTGTATCATGACAATCTATCAAAACAAAATTATATTAATGGGTTATTCTTACCGAGTGCCTTAATGCATGGTAGATTAATATAATATCATGAACATTTTCAAATGCTCATAGAATAAAATAGATTTGTTGGATATAGATATGTAGAGCTTCTACTGCCAGCCTGCATGGGATTTCATCCACGGACATTTTTTCATATGGTGCAGTATATTTATTTACTAATAGAAATAATATTTAGTAATATATTAACTTTGTTTTGCTTCGTGCATCTACACACTGATAGAGCCTTGACTTCACCATATTTGGCATTCGTCATTTTGCCTCCAGTCACATCCTGAAAAGGGGGGGGGGTAGTTGCCAGTATTGGCCGTTTTTCACCGGGAGCTCCGGCTTTCCTCCATCACCAACACCTAGCACGTCTTTAAATGATGATGGCTGTTAACAGGACGTGAAACACAAACAAACCAAACCAATCTATATATCATAACTATAGCGAACTGTTATGTGACTTCATAGTTTATAACGTCATAAGTTCTCTTCAAAAAAAACAGTCTGATAATTTCCTTCATGAGATGAAAGCGCTAATGGCATGCTGTTGAGATTTTTTCTTTTCATATTATTTCTTCGTCCTTAAGGATCAATTTACTGCTGTTACAATATGTTTGTGTGTTTGGGGCTGATGAAGGTTGTCTAAGGAGACACTACCAATAGGAAAAGAAGGCAAGACAGATTATAAGTGTTGCAATGGGGCAACAGCTATATGATACAAAAACAACTATGAAAATGCATATATAATTTAAAATCATACCCGAGTGTCCAGTCCGACCACGAGGAGAGTGAGAAAGAAGAGTGTCGACCATACTTGAGGCCAAGGGAGAGTAGAAAGTGCCTCCGGGAAAACCATAAACGCTATTCCAGGACCTGAAATACATAAATCGACAAAGTTATTATTACTACATTCTCAACAGCCCGGAAACAAAGACTTACATATAAGGGGTAATCAATGTTTGATGAAAAGATGTTAAAGACAATGACATAAACAAACGGAAAATAACAAAAACATCAACTTGAATATCAAAGGTGTTATGTTAATGAATGCATTTGAAACAAACAACTTTCAAGTAATCTGGTAACATAGAGGTGTCTGCTGTGTTGAAGAGATTTCGGACTATTATATTGTTATTGACATTTACTTATGCTAGCTGAAGGTCATGCCAACGCACTCTAGTAATAAATGGTTTACTAGTTTACTCAACAGATCGTGTTTATAAAGAAAATAAAGTCTGCATTTTTATTATTCAACTATATATGAAGTACCATGTTTCCCCGGAAAAAAAAGAAGAAAAAATTGTTTAAACTTTAATCATTCGATTAATTCACTGTTATAATTTGTATGTCGTTGACGCAATAGTCATGGCTGTATATTGTAAGATAAAATTCTTTCAAAAATAACTTTAATGGTCTATAAACATTTCATCCTAATTAGCTGAATTGTTCATAAACTTAATATGAATACACACCATCGGCTACCACCTTGTGTATATCAAGATTAAAAGTTGTCGCCATGTATCCAAGGGTAACAAAAATAACACAGCCAGAGAAGAGGCTCGTGAACGCATCAACAACAGGAACAACCATGGCGTCTCTGCAGACCAAGTGAAAATGAAAAAGCAGATCACTTAGACATCATCCAATAATACAAACGGAGACAGACTCGATCAAATATAAGTATATTGGTCACAACTGAACAGCAATCCTAGGAAGATGATTTTTATTATTGACATAATATATCCTAAAGGGTATAGTTACTTTGATATGATAAATATATAATAATATAAATGTACATCAATTTAAATATCAATGAAAACAAAAATTTAATGAATGCAAACAATCTACATACTCATTGAATGGTTAACTTGGAAACAATCAGCGAAAAAAATGCGGAATAGAAATGACAGAGGTCCCCTGCAATGGAGCAGCAGATGCATTTGGTTTTCGGTGTCTCAAAGCAAAAATCATTCACAAGGTTGTGGAGTCAAAATGTAAATAGTAGAACAGAGTTCTTTATTTTGTTGATATAAGTTTCCTAATAATACACAGTTTTCACTGCAGGATGAAATGAATATAGGAATGGACCTTACCTGTAGATATTATGGTGAAATTTGTTATGACTTGCCAATATTATATGATCAGCAGTGCCAAACCCCAGCGAAAAGATAACTTGGCTTGCAGCATCGAACCAAACCTGCAGAGTCAGACAACAGGCTATTTAACGTAGATCAGGATATTCGTCAGAAGTCTTAAGTTCATACGTACAGTGACATTGTATATACGAAAGCATGGATTCAAATATAATAAAATAAAAAAACCATTCAATTTATCATGGTATTCGTCAATACCACCATGCTCGAACATTATTGTTTATAGTGGCAAGTAATGTTACTATATACATGTACCTACCAAATTACATTCAGTTGGCATTCATAGTCAATTTCAATATTTAGCTCCAGTGTCGATTCGAGTTGATTAATAAATTGACTATAAATCCCTAATGAAAGTATTCAAATACTTTTACGTTGATTGTTTCTTACTAAAATAATTAAAAGTAATATGATGAAGTTATGCTGATTTTACCGAAGGCCTGAGTAACTCCTCCCATCTTGGAACGAAATAGAACTTCAGGCCCAGCCATGCTCCCTCTAGAGTAAGACCACGCACCAGAAGGATCGTCAGAAATATATATGGGACAGTAGCGGCCACATACATTATCTGAAACATACTCACAGAATAAACTTTGCTTTACATGGGTTTGAGTTGTTTTGAATATATCCGCCATTATTACAGATTACTTCATTTTCGAGAGAGCTCTTACTATAGAAATTTATTGCTAAGATTTATGTTTCAAATGGAATATGTTTGAACCAAATACAGCTTATACTTACTTTTCCCGACAATTTGATGCCCTTGAAGACACAGAGGAAAAGGAGTATGCATACAGAAAGGTTACACAGAAGTAACTGCCAGCGTACGTGTCCCATTGTCTCTACACCATCAGTTAACTGGAGAACATTGTACCTAGAGACAGATAACATCATCACCATTATATTTATTATTAATAATCACTAGTTCGATGGTTGTATAATATTTAACGTCCTATCAACAGCTGAAGTCATTTTAGGACGTGCCTCAACAGGGTACGTTGGTGTATTTGCCTCCATGCGGGAACGCCGATTTGATGCCAACCTTATACTGCTTTAATCATTAAACATGCTGTGTTTAAAATGTTAAGGATCGTGACATGATTTTCTGCGATCCAATTTCAATGTCAACAGCTATATAAAACGTGTTCACCGTGTCCTTGATGCCGATAGTCGACAGTTCTGCCTGGATATGACAGAAAACACGTTATGGCATGGGCAATATTGAGGTACAGAAAACATATACTTTTCAAAATACTTCTTGAATTTCTTAAATTTTGACAATTGTTTGACTGTCCTTTTGTGTCTTTAAGTTCCTAAAGTTTTGTTTTGGTAGAAAGTTTGAGTTTTAATTAAGTTAATGTGTGTAAACGCTGTGGTAAAGTAGTGGTTTTTTTCTTTTCTACTCATTATCTTGGCATGCCACGTCCACACCTGCCTTTTTCAAAATTTTAGATTAATTAAACCTTTCAGGATTATGGATCTTTGAATAAATAAAAAAAGAAAATTACTCAGTGTTATTAATTGCCATCTTTACAAGCTTTTCTTTACAAGTTTAAAGATAAACTATTTTATCGGTGCGAACGAATTATTTTTCTAAGAAATATGTAGTTTTGTGGTATATACTAACGTCCAAAATTCTTCTGTGGCGGTTTTACCGTTCTCTGATAATGTTGTCCCATTCGTCCCAAATTTTGGTTCCTTCAAACCTGACATATTGTAAACTGCTGTACTGCTTGTGTTTCTCACTACTGCTGTCGGTTCATTCGTTCGGGTGTAACAATTTCCCGTGTTCCAAGTATTATCACAATTACTCCAAGGCAGCTTTACAGAGAAACAGTTAGCAAGGTAGTACAATGTCCAGGCAATGATGACGTTATAATAAACTGCGATCACAGAGTTGGTCAGAATCATTGCGTAACCTATACCTATTAAATTAAAAAATCGAAATTAGGACAGTATTAAAATTTAAAAGGAGAACAATGACAAAGAGGCAATGTCGTGGATGATGATCAAAATCGATGCATGATGTCGGTTGGTTGGTTGGTTGTACAGGGTGTACCGGCATTTCAACAGCTAAGTTCATTTAAGGACGTGCCTCCATGTGTGCTTTTATGCGTGTTTGTTTCCTGGAGACAGAGTGTCGACTTATAATCAGATGTGTGTATATTTCAGTGGCAACAAAGACGAAACCGGTATTTCTTAAGGTCAACAAACTGATAAGCATAACATATGTGATTACTGAATACCGGGACAAAACCCGTTGCTTTTTTAGCCGAGTGTTAAACATCAAAGCCATGGATGGCACAATAATAGATAAATATTTGTAAGAAGTAGAGAGAATATATAAGGATCCTAAATGTTGTAAATGGCGAAGCAGATTTATTTTCGTCACGTTTGTGTCCCCAAGGAAATGACAAAAAAGAAGATCCCCTACTCTGCAGGGGCTTCCCTCATTAGTTACCTCCTACAGCCTGCAGTTAGTTTCAGCAGGTGCATTCTTTTCTAATCCACGACCTGCTTGGACGATTGATTACTGCTTATAATAAATGAACCCGCCCCTCTGCACCCAGAGGGAACACACCCTCTGCTTATACAAAAGTAAGTCCCCTTTGCCCAAGGATTATTCAGGCCAAATTTTGATAAAATCCCTCCAATAGTACAGAAGAAGGATTTTACAGATTTAAACCTCAAATTCCCCTATTGGTTCCCGCCCCTCTGCCCAAGGATTGTCCGGGCCAAATTTGGATAACATCTCTCCAATGGTACAGAAGAAGATTTGTACACGTTTAAACCTCAAATTCCCCTATTGGGTTCCGCCTCTTTGCAGAGGAACTACACCTTCCGCTTATTCGAAATTAAGTCACTATTGCCCAAGATTGGTCCAGGCCTAATTTAGTCAAAATCCATGGTCCTTTGGACCAGGTGAGCTAAAAATTACATTCGAAAACCTGAAAAAACATGTTAAACAAACAAAAGTCAACATGATCCCATTTGCTCTTGGTACATGTAATTATTTTTCGTGAATAAAAAACATTTAAAATTTCTAAATAGATTATATCCTTTCCGAATCTGTCCTGTTAAATTACTTCGCCGTTGTGATGACAGTAATATGTCATATGTCAAAACAATGTACAACACTAATAAATATTTGTGACGTTGTGTAATAGTACTGGAGTATTTATGTACTGTGTGAGTGTATTGTGATGGAATTTTTTTTGTTTTGTTTTGTTTAACGTCCTATTAACAGCTTAGGTAATTTGAGGACGTGCCTACATGTGTGTTGTGCATGCGTGCTTGCCTCCTTGTGATAGCGCAGATCTGATGTCGACTTTATAGTGTTATCTCACTAAAATGCCATGCCGAAGGCACCAAGCACAGCATTCCGCCCGTTCATATTATACTGACAACGGGTGGAGCAGTTTTTCCCATTCCCCTTAATGCTGAACGTTAAGCAGGGAATACCAACTGCCATTTTAAAGGACTTTGGTATGTCCCGGCCTGGCGACAGAACCCCTTGCTTTCCTCACTTGGGCGAACGCTCAACATTCAAGCCAAAATTGACGTGTTGCCAATCAACGCGCTATTTAATAAAAGGTAGTAAGAAGTAGAAAGAAAGATAAAGAGTATTGCAATGGGCGCTGCAGATCTTTGGTCGCTCTTGTGTCCCCAAATAGAGGACACCTAAGCGAAGTCTCCTACGATACATGCAGTGAAAAACAGCAGGTGTATTCTTTTCCCAATCTCCTACCTGCAGGGGTGTATTGTAATGGAACAGATTATTTAAATTGCAAAATGTTACACAAGCCGAATAATCTTATATTCGTCATTATTTCTGTTTACACCATATAATCATTAATATTCTTTCATAATACACAACCACAGTTGATTATTTCTTAAATAGTAAAGCATGTCTCGTGTCAATTCATCCAAATGTTCGAGTAAACATTCTATAACGAAAAAAAAGTCCTTGAGATATTCTTAAAAGCAAACATCATAACATCAAGTATTATATAACTTACTTCTCATAGAAGACTCAACATTCTCTCAAATTATCTACGAGTAATTCGATATGTGACGTTACCTTTGAAGAGAGGACAACACACCCATGCCCTAGCTGGTCCGCTGCTGGAGTACTGCGGATATGAGAACTGAAGAAGGAGCTGAGGAACCCCAACCATTCCCAGGAAGATGAAGTATGGTACCAGAAAAGCTCCTGACAGTAGAGCACAAATATCGTTATCCATTTGCATCGTAATGAAGACAAATAATGACATCTGTAAAATCGTATTTGTTTGTTTGGAAAAATATGTACTTGATTAAATTACTACTTTTTCGCAGCTAGTGCTAGCAATTTTCTTTTTCCATTTTAATAACAATGTTTTGATACATAACTAACGTCAAAATAGGTTTAAGACTAACGTCTCAATTAGTTTTAGACTGAAAGTATTTGGATAAAGAAAGCTCGAATAAAAACACATACCACCACCATTTTTGTAGCATATGTATGGAAACCGCCATATGTTTCCGAGCCCCACACTTACACCAATACAGGAGAATAGGAATTCCAGACCATTTTGCCAGGTTTCTCTTTCACTCATTGTTGTCGTTATCAACTGGATTTTACACTTCTAGATCTGTTATAACGAGAACCAACGACACATTACTCATTGTACGAAAAAAGTTGATATCATATTGCGTCCGCACCAGTCTGCGAATTGTTTGCCAACAGAACAAACATGTTGCATATTATAAAGTGTATCGTTTTCTTGTTTTAATGTATATCCATGAAAAGTATACAAATGTGTTCGGTTTTAACAATGGTGTGTTATTACAAGACATGCATTGAACGACAAGAGTAACATTACTTCGATAAACTATATGCTAAATTTTCATTTTGATGCAAAAAGTATCAGAGGTATCCGATATAACGACACAGAGCTATCATCTTTTTGTAAACATCTAGTTTGATATATAAATATATATAGCTTTCACCTGTCAAATTGCATGATATTGCCACGTTTTATAGCCATAAATAAATATTTAAAGATTCTGCAGGCAATAAATCAGGATAATATATGCAAGAAGTTATATCCGTGGTCGGTTTTAACGTCATCGAAATAGCCAATGTCATCTGGAGACGAGTGTAAGAAAAAACAAAAAAACATAGATTCCAAGGGTTATAATGAAATCATCGGGATGGGGAAATATCAGTCGCCTGTTATGACATGCATTAAGGTAAAACATTTCCCCGTGCCTGGAGTATAAGTTGTCAACGAAACACATATCAAGCGTTCACTATCAATACCATATAAAGCTGCAACAAGTATCAAACATTCTTTTGATTTTGACCGTATCAGTGATATCGTAGGGCGTGTTTTAATATTGTTCATTAGTTTACATAGATACAATAAAGAATTTATTTAAAATCGAAGGCTGCCTCTGGACGGAGTGAAGATTAACATGACAATGTACATAAAGAAAAAGACCAGGTGTTCCGAAAAGTTAAGCGTGACTACCTCATCGACAACATCTGCATCTGACCGTCGAAGTCAAATCCAAGGAGTCTCGCGTCGTCCCAGCGAGAATAGAGGGCGATGAACCCAGCAAGATGATTGGTATGGTTTAATTTTGTTTTAACGTCCAATAACATCTAAGGTCATTTAAGGACATGCCTCCATATGTGTAGTGTATGCGTGCTTGCGTCAGTGTATGCAGTACACAGGGTATGTTGGCGTGCTTGCCTCCTTGTGATAGCGCGGATCTGATGCCGACTTTATAGTGCTATTTCACTGAAATGCCATGCCGAAGGTACCAAGCACAGCATACCGCCCGGTCACATTATTCTGAGAACGGCGGAACCAGCTGTTGTCATTACCCTAAATGCTGAAAGTTAAGCCTGGTGTAACAACTACCATTTTCAACGACTTTGGTATGTCCCGGCCTGGGGACAGAACCTATCGCCTTTCTCACCTGGGCGAACGTTCAACATTAAAACCAACAATGATGTATTGCCAAACAAGGCGCTAGGAAATAAAAGGTAGCCAGAAATAGAAAGAAATATGAAGATACCAAATATGATACACCTATTTGTGCTAAATTTTTAAAGACACTTAACCATTTTTATCAAAAACAAATTTACGTTGACGGCTAGCTTTGTCTGTCAAAAGTAAAATATTTCAATGTGGTGAATGGAAAACATTTGACAAATATTAAGTTTCATTCACAATTGCTGAAAAATCCTGCATTTCAAAAAACTATTTTTTTGCGCGACGTTGTTAAGATGACTGTCACAACGACACAACGAAAGAAACTTCAATTCACTGTTCTGCTTGACAGCACTCTTTTACTTTTTTTCCATTGAACTGTTTGCTCGTTTTATAGGAGTCGGTGGTCTTTTGACAACCTGCTTAATATATCATAGGAAAGATTTTGTGTTAATTTTGGGAGAATGCGAACGCGTTTAAGAGGTCCGTTTTTAGCTCACCTGCCCGAAGGGCAAGTGCGCTTTTGTCATGGTCCGTCGTCCGTCAACTTTTCCTTTAAACAACTTCTTTTGAAGAACAGACAGGCATAAAGTCATGATATTTGGCAGAAAGCTTTATTGGTAGGAGCCCGACAAATTTTGAGAACGAAAATGACTTTAGCCTTCTTTCAAGGTCACATGGGTCAAATGTGTCAAACACTTCAAACGACTTCTCCTTAATAACTAAAAGGTATAGAATCTTCATATTTTGCTGGTGCCTTCCTGGGATAGAGCTCACCAAAGTTTGCAAATGAAAATGACTTCAACCCACTTTAAAGGTCACAGAGGTCAACAACATTTCAAATGATTTGTTCTGAAGTACCAAACGGAATGGAGTCATAAGATTTGGCTAATTACAAGGTGACAGGGGAAAATATGTCAAACACTTCAAGCAACTTCTGAAGAAGAACCAAAAAGCATAGAATCATATAATACTATTTGGCTGGTAGTTTCAACTGATGGAGAGGACAAAGTTACGAGTGAAATATTTGTATTACAGTATAAAATTTAATGAGAATATTTTGCTATGACTGTTTAGATATTCAGGTGAGCGATACAGGCCCTCTTGGCCTCTTGTTTGTTATCGCTTTTGAAAAGGCCTTTAAAAGGTAGACCCTGATGCGTATCTTTTAAATTAGCTAGAAAATGATTCAGCAATTCGTTTTCACGAGGGATAAGTTTTTTAGTATACTTAACCCATCAAGCACACATACATACATTTATTTAACATACATGCAGACTCGTCCCTTAATTACCCTAGCCGTTAATATGACGATAAACGTAACAACTCTTAACTTTTAGAATTGATAATTGAAAGAGATTTTTTTGTTTCAAGATATGAAAACACAATAAGTAATATTCATTTATTACTCCTCGAGACATTGCCGATTTTTGTCAATGAGGTCCATTTTGACTAGCTGGAAGATATTGTTTGCTACAGTTAAGTTCGTGTTGAGACAAGTGCCTAGGAAAACACCGTCGAACAATGTTATGTTGTCTGTCCTTGCCAGTTTAATAACGAAGCTAGTGTTGTCAATCAGAGGGACTCTTTAAGCATACCCAAGACAGATTGGTTGGCAGGATTTCAGAAGCTCTCAGTAAGGTCGGGTAGAATTGACAGCATATCCGTAATGCAGATGTATTTTTTTCTGGATACGCTCTACTTGCGGCTGAGAGTGCTTAGTCGTCACAGGTCTGGATAATGCTAACAAAAATAACTCCAATCTCTACATGTGTAAGATACATGTGTCCCATACAGAACACTCCTGTGGGATGCGTGTATTCCACAGGAGTACAATCAGCGACCTTTACTATTCTCAATCACAATTAGATGACGTTATGTTACTATGTTACACTTGGCTCAAATCAAACCTCAAACGTTTAGACACAGGTATATATACAAAATAAGATAGCCTTACTTTATATAATGTGCATGCCTGAACACCTTGAATTGGTGTAAAACAACTTTTCTTAATGGAAACTGTATGTGTCTGTCGAACAACGCGGCCCCTAGCCGTTCCGAAAGGTAATAGCAGATAGCAGAAAAATGATACATACAAGTATGATATTTGCTTGACTTGTCTTTGCTTCTACCTTACCATTTGACCACCTATAAAACAGATAAGCAGGTAACTGCACAGTTACCGATATATATTTGAGTATGAGCAGACGTAAGTAGAAAACGTTGGTCATTAACATAAATATCATTTCGATTTAAAACAAACAAACAAAAGATAATTTTTGTGGGCGTCATGATATTAAATACATGTATAAATACCCAAAACATGAATTTTTCAGTTTTAAAAATCCTTCGGATTCCAGAATCTTATTTACCTTACCTGTAACTACATTTGAACGTAAGTGTACCGATGCGCGTGACTCTAATTCATAAAAAATATTTTTCGCACTTCAGACAGATATATACCATGTGATACGATGTGCTACCGTTTTCTATGTCGTATATTCTGGCTTGCACCTTTCCGCCACATTTTGCGGATGGTTAACTCAATGACGTATTAACACCTTGCTTACGGCTCGAAACTGACAGTCTGGATTATAGAAATTAAACGCGAAGCTCTTTATTGGATTGGCTTTGCACATATTGCCTTTGATTTTTTCTTCCGGAGGTAGCTGTGCAGTGGGGAAACCGGAAGTGTATCTTTGAAGCAAAGACAATTATGTTTCAACACATAATGGAACATCTACATATAGTGAAACAATCTTCATGGTTTTAATTTTTATCTCTTTTATTTAGATAAATATTCCATAATTATTAAGCGTAATAGGCGGCCGAACATATGGAGTATTACGAGATCTCACAGCCCCAGATAAACCCGCAACGAAATCGAACTGGTAGAGACATTACGTTATCATTTGTCACCCAAATCCCTGTTGATAGATGAGTGATTTAGATTCCATAAGCGTGACCAGAAAGAAGGCGAAGGTGTACGGGAATACGTGGCCCAGCTAAGGAAATTGTCGGAACATTGTGAATCCGGTACAGTTCTGATGGACGCTTTACGTGACATGTTTGTGTGTGGCCTGAATAATGAAAGTATTCATCGGAAGCTACTATCTGTTAAAGACTTAACATTCAGGAAGGCCGACGAAGTCGCTACAGCCATGGACACCGCTAGTCGTGATGCAGTTGAATTACAGTCAAATTACAAGTCGGTGCACAGTACCAGCGTCAGTGGAAAATCGAAAGGAAATAAATATGTCAAAACACCAGTTAAGCACAACGCTATACCGTGTTATCGGTGTCTAAGAACAGGACACGATGCGCAGGATTGCGTTTATAAAACTGAGAAATGCAGGAAATGCGGAAAGATAGGCCATATCCAGAAGGCATGTCGACAGGATAAAAACAAGGTGACAGGGACAAGCAGTAAAACATGGCATCAACCATCAAAAAAGGTCTATGCTGTTGGTGAAGAAGATCTCATTGGACATATGGAAGTCTGCTCTATTGGTGGTCCTAGAAAGGCTGAAT